ATCGACGAAAACTAACAAAAATATATGCACACGCGCGTGCAACGTTTCCTTAATCCAAACGAAAACGAAAACGTAGAGAAAAAGAAATATTACCGCGACCTAGGCGGTGGAACGCTCGCGCGATGCGCGAAACAAGAATTCGGCGAGATTAAGTGAATACTGTGGGACAACGCGAATATCGATACGCCGAAACGCGGCGAGAAAAGAGAGAAAGAAACAGCCACATCCGTTTTTGTCAGTTCGACCGCCATATCTCGCGAACGACGATAACAGTCGCGGGCAAGCTCGCGCGTTGCTTTTCGTTTCTTGTTTTCTTCTCCTCTTTATTTTCTTTTCTACCAAAAATACTAAGATGAACGAGGCTCGATCGTCGATTGGATCGACATGCTCGATACACTCCGCGAAACTATTGTTCTTCCGTGCAATATCGACGGGACACGATCGAAACCAGCAGCGCGAATCGATTGCTTACTTTCTTGTCGTATAGCCGAAAGAAACCGTTCGGATGTTCAAATTTCACCTCGGTCGTCGTATCGATGTGTTTCAGGACGGCAATCGTTACGTTCCCTAATCTCTCGTCTCTCTCTCTCGGTTCATCTAATTGCGTATCGACGTACCGATTCCCTCGTTAATTGGCCTGACAAAAACGGATCTGACAACCGCAGGAGAATTATTGCGCGTTAAGATCATCGTCGGCGAACGGTGCACGCGTGATCTTCCCACCGGGCGCCGGGACGCAAAAGACAAAAAACGGAACGTCGTCGAACGAGACGACGACGACGGGCTGCCTGTTCTTCGTTCCTTCATTTTTTTTCTCTTTTGTTTCTTTTCTCCTTTAAACGTACGGGATATAATTGTCATTACACGGTAAATCCTATACGTAACGATAAGTACACACGGTACGGCGGTAATTCCCGGTCGGAGTAACGCGCGCGCGCGACCGGTATTTTTTTCTGTTTTCTTTTTAAGCGTAGGCCGGACTAACTCATCTCACATGAATGTAAACGTAACTTTCCGCCGGCTCGAGATGCGTCGAGCCGAACCCGTCACCTCGGTATCCCCGCTCTGACTAGATTTATAATAAGTGCACGAAAGCGGATGAATAAACCGACCGCCGGTTCCCGACCGATCGACCGATTCCCGGCGCCGTTTCTCGTCGAGTTCCCTCGAGGAACACCGATGTGAAACGGCGAAACTCTGCGGAGAGGCGATCGTCGATTGGGACTCAACGATCCGGATTCAGTACACGGAGAATATCGACGCGACCGTCGATACATCGATAGGATATTATATGGTCGCTGGTCAGTAATTATTGCTATACAAGCAAAAGCTGTATAAAGGTACGATCAGCTCTACATTTACATGCGAACGATTATCGCCTCTCAACGATCGCAGCTGCGACACTCGCTGTTTTCGTGGAAACAGTACTGCGTGTACATATATATATATATATTTATATATCTCTATGTACCTATATATACACTCTTAATTTAATTCTCCTTGTACTGAGCTGGTATTCATCCCGCGTATCGTTGACTCCTAAAGATCGTGCGACGAATACACGAGTCGGTCGCGTGGAACATCATTTTCCTCTCGATTGCCGCCGCCCGGTCCGCGATGGTTCCAGACCTGCACAGAATCGAACCACCCGGTGGGCGGCGCCGCGGAGGTATTCTACCAAAGAATTTCGACCTCGTTTCTGTTCCTCGGAGGGAGCTAACATCTACGGAGGACATAAAAATGTGTACGAGTACGACACGACGACGACAAGGATCACGACACCGACTGTTTTACGCGTCCCGCCGCTACGACCGGTCGCTCGACCGCAATCTGGGGCTGAAAGCTTGCCGTCCAGCGGCCGATCGTGCCCCGGACGCGAGAAAATATTTTTTTCATTTTTTTCTTCTTCTTCTTCTTCTTCTTCTTCTTCTTCCTCTCTCTTTCTTCTCCTCCTCTTCTTTTGTTGCTACTGTGTACGATTTTCGCCGCAGGTCTCTCTTCACGCGATTTACGATCGCTAAACGCGGTTATTTATCACTAGTCATTACGCTATTATTACTATTTAATCAACTATGTCAAATCATCTGTTTAGATCTAATAAATGACGCCCGAGGAGTTCTGCACCGAGCATCCTCGGTCAAGATCGTCGCCGCGCGCGCGATTCATTCGCGACGGTCGGAGGTTGACGGTGGCGATGCTCGCTGCGAACCTCAACGGCACGTTTCCAAGAGTAACATGCCTAACTTACAGAGTATTCTTATTCCTTTCTTCACGTTCACCGCTTTTTGTGCCCCTCGTTACGGGGGAGATTGAACTCCGTCAGCCGGTCGAGCCGACATATTTACGCGTCCGGCCCGAAGGTCAACCGATCGGCCGGACGGCGTTTTTACGCGGCCCGGCATCTCGCGTCGCGGATAAGGCTCGATTATTTACCACTTAACACTATACAGAGCTTTCAGCTTTTCTAATTTTTAAATACACCGGTTGATGCTCGAAGCCTTAGAGACACCTAACTAGAGACAACATGTACGAAGATTTTCTGGAAGGTGCATCGATAACCGCTAGGTGGACTTTTTTTTTGTATCCTTAACCGTTAAGACTCCATTACCAAGGACTCAAAGATACACCGAGAATTCCCACGCGGTTAAACGCCCGGCCCTACCGGGCGGACTTAGCCGTGCGAGTCCGGCCGGGACATCCTTAGGCGTACTCTTTCTCTCTTTTAAGATAAATTTCTGCGTGTGTGTGTGTACACATATGTATATCTCTTACGTAACTCTGACGGCGACCACCAGTGGACACCGCCGCGTCTATGAGAGCTTAAGATCCTAGGTTTTTAAGTATGAAACCCCACGGTCGCCTGGTCAGATCGTATCCTGCTCGATCCGCACCACGAGACCTTGGTTTTTTGCCTGTTTACCTCTTTTTCTTTATTTTCATTCACTGATAAATTTAATTTAAATCCTATCGGAGAAGCGCTGCGAGATGCTCCTCTGGGTAAAGCTCGACGAAAAGTTTCAACCGTCCGAAGACGCCGGATTTCATTTTCGAACTTGGAACACAAACTTCTCGATTCATTTTCCCTCTTCCCGTGGTATTATTTCGCGCGCTGCGCGCGCACAGGTGTCGCGCAGGCTCGACGGCGTCGAATCGCGCCGGCTTCTTTTTCACTTGAAACTTAAGCCCATCTTACGTTCAGTCTTGATCACTAGTGACTCGACGCTACGCTAAAGACCTAAGACACGACTTACTTTTTAAGCAATTATTCTTGATCATCCGTTTACGTTTTTGTTCTGTTCTTTTCTGTCAACTTTAGTCGGAATAAGAAATCATCTGTAACGTAATTGTTCGCGTGTAAGCGCTAACCGGGGGAACGGAAAGAAGAGCATTCAGAAGTGCCAACATTTCACTGTCTGTACGTCTGAAATTATTTCCGCCGGATTCGTTCCGATGAAATCGAATCTTCGGTGTTACGGGAAAATCGGAAACACGTAAACGTTTTCGTCGTTTTACCGGGACTCCGGGAGTTACTCCTGTGCGAATAATTTAATATCTTTTCTTCACCGGTGTATAAAACACTTTGTGTTCGAGGGACGCATCCCCTAAAAGCGTTCAGAGAGGAAACGAAATGTACGATCAAGAAATCGTTGGAAAAGTTCCTCGTCGATTCAAATCCTTGTTTTCCCTCTAATACTTCTGTAGAGTTTCTAACAGTATTATACAT